ACAATGCAATCCTACTGATGGCAAAAGCATAATAAGGTAATCTACCTGCTACTCCTTAGAACCTATCCTAGAGTTAAATGTAAGTGTATGATTTACAAGAATAAAGCAAGACCAAATACATAATTCACAATTTGGTTGTAGTTTGCAAGGAAAATTGCTTACTACAGATCGACTATGCCAATGAGGCATGACTATTGATACCTACTGCCATTTATGTCAGTGACATGATGAATCCATGAAACACCTGTTTGTTCAATGTGAATATACAAAAATATATGGAATAGATTGATGAAATGGGCTCCAAAGAGAACTACCAAAATTTGTTACCTGGGAGCGGCTTGTTCAATGAATTATTAGAGAGCCTCAAGAGAAGTCTCAGATTGCCGATCTTCAAATTGATTTATGCTGAAAATATTCATTACATGTGGAGGGAGAGAAATATTGGGAAAGTGTAGCGAGAGAGATATCTTATGTGTGTTGTGCTCGTGTCTCACCTGGAATTAGGACCTTAATGTACAAATTTTATCTTCTAAGTGAGATGATAGAGCAAGAGGATTTCGAATCGCATGTGTTTTTCTGTTTAGATAGCTAGTTGTGTTGTCTTGATATGTTTTTCTAATTTTTTCATTGATGATTAATATAATTACGTTAGTCACCAAAAAAGGGTAAAATAGCTCAAGATATTGAAACATTAAAATTAAAAAGGTATAAATTTGAGAGAAAAGAACTTGAATCTGACAAAGCTGATCTAGAAGGACAACTTTAAGAACTAGGTTCTTGACCTCACTTCTGAAAATGAAAAGCCACCTGATATACATGGTAAGGGAAAAATGAGTGACCTGTAGGATAATCTTGAAAAAGAATTAAAAGGGACTAAAGATAATCTTTGTGATGCTGAATGTAGGAATTAAAAGGGGCTAATTATGAACTATCTAGACTAAGAAAATGACATAGATCCTCAGATTCCTTGAATTGGCTGAATAAAAACTGCAGCACCAACAAATCAGGAATTGGCTACAGAAAACCCGTTCCCAAATTTGATCTAAAGTATGTAGGAATTTCTCATAACAAAATGTGCACTCATTGTGGAAAGGTAGGACACTTTAGAGATACTTGTCCTGCCTTAATTCATGCTTAGTTTAAAAACACCTTTGGTCCTGCTAAAAATGTGAAGAAGGAAGAAGAATCAAAAGCTACTAAATGGATTAAGATTAACAATAAAATAGTTACTAATCCTCTTCCCTTCATGCCAAGAAGTGATCTGATTTATCTTTTTTCAAATAAAAAGGGACCCAAGCTCGTTTAGGTTCCCATGACTAACTTGTGATTTTTAGCGTAGGCTAAAGTGAGAGGGAATAATCAAGACTGGTATCTAGATAGTGGATGCTCAAGACATATGACGGGAGAAAAGAAATTCCTCTCACTGACAGCCTTCCATGGAGGGAGTGTGTCATTTGAAAATGGGAAAAAAGGCCAGATAACAAGTATTGGTAAGTTCAGTAAGTCACTCTCTTATGCATTAGAAGATGTGTATTATGTCATAGGCCTCAAACACAATCTTCTTATCATCTCTCAAATGTGGTAAAGGAAATGAAGTAAAATTCAATTCCAAAATCTTTACTGTCACTAAGCTTGATACTAATGAAGTTGTGTTAAAAGGTAAAAGGCATAACAATATTTACAAGATATCCATTATGTCTCTTCCTCAGAGTGAGCACCATGCTTAAGTGTAGTGGAGGATGATCCACTGTTATGTCATAGAAGACTAGGTCATGCTAGTCTTTCCCAACTCAACAAGTTGACAGCAAAGGACTTGGTCCTTGGCTTACCAAAAGTTGAGTTCTGCTTAGACAAGGTTTGTGATGCCTGTGTTAGAGGGAAACCTCTAGAACTCCTTCACATGGACCTATGTGGAGCAATGAGAGTGAGGACCAGAGGAGAGAAGTATGTTTTTGTCATTGTAGATTACTTCTCCAGGTATACATGGACTCTGTATTTGGGATCTAAAGATGAAACTTTTGATATTTTCTGTGTGTTTGTCAGAATGAGCCAACAGAACTGGGCTATAATGTATTAAGTAAAATAACATACCATAGAACTGAGTTTGAAAATTCTAAATTCCTTGAGTTCTCAAACACAGATGGCATTGATCATAATTTCTCTACACCTAGAACTCCACAACAAAATAGTATTGTGGAAAGAAAGAATAGATCCCTAGAAGACAGGGGGAGGACCATGCTGATTACTAGTGGACTGCCTAAGAGTTTCTAGGATGAGGCAGTCAATATTGCCACTTGCTAAATAGATGCATGGTCAAACCTATTCTTGAGAAAACTCCCTATGAGTTACTTCGAAGGAGAAAGCTCAACATCACTCACCTGAGAGCATTTTGGTGTATTTGTGCACAATGATGGCAAAGAAGCTCTAGGTAAGTTTGATGACAAAAGTGATGAGGAAATTTTCTTGGGTTACTCTCCACATAGTAAGGCCTATAAAGGTTTTAATAAAAGAACTATGTGTGCAGAAGAAAATGTTCATGTTATTTTTGATGAATCTAAAAATTTGGCCGAGAAAAGTTTGCAAGATGAAGATTATGACATAGGACTCACTAGTGAAGGAGCTCCTAAGGAACCTGAAGATGGATCCAGAGATCACAAGTAGTTGACAATGATCACGAGGAACAAGAAGAAGAGAGAACTACTCTGACTGCTAACCAGACTGATGAAACTATACCTACTGAAACTGTTCCTTTGGGTCACTCCTTGGGTGAACAATCTTTAGGAATGTAGATTAGGCCATGGAAACATCAAAGTTCATATCCTCTTGAGAACATCATCTTTGATCCTAATGCAGAAGTGCAAACCAAGCCATCTCTGAGGGATCTATGTGCATTCACATCATTCCTCTCACAGGTTGAACCTAAGAACATTAAGGAAGCTCTAAAAGATACATATTGGATTATAGCCACACAAGAGGAGCTAAATCGGTTTGAAAGGAGCAAGGTCTGGCAATTGGTAAAAAGATTCAAGAACAGAACTGTCATAGGTACCAGATGGGTGTTCAGAAACAAGCTGGACAAACAAGGAAATATCACAAGGAACAAGGCCAGACTTGTGGTTCAGGGATACAATCAAGAAGAAAGCATTGACTATGATGGGACGTTTGCACCTGTAGCCAGAGTGGAAGCTATAAGAATGCTAATAGCTTTTGCTGTATACATGGAGTTCACCATGTATCAGATGGATGTAAAAAGTGCATTCTTGGACGACTATCTGAAGGAGGAAGTGTTTGTTAAACAACCTCTTGGGTTTGTTAGTGAAGAATTTCATGACTATGTGTTCAAGATAGACAAATCCCAGTTTGGACTGAAACATGCCCCAAGAGCTTGGTATGAAAGACTCTCAAAATTCCTCTTAGCTAACAACTTTGTTAGAGGAAAGGTGGACACACTGTGTTTCTGAGGAGCAAAGGCAAGAATGTAATAATTGTACAAGTATATGTGGATGACATTATCTTTGGAGCTACTAATGAAGCAATGTGCAAGGAATTTGCTGAGATGATGGGGAAAGAGTTTGAAATGAGCATGATAGGTGAATTGAACTTCTCCCGGGGTTGCAAATCAAGAAAACATCTACTGGAATCATGATACATTAGCAAAAATATATCAAGGAACTACTCAAGAAATTCAACACGGACTTATCCAAATCCATAGACACTCCCATTGCCATTGCAACAAAGCTGGACCTTGATGAAGAAGGGAAAAGTGTTGAACATAAGCAACATAGAGGAATGATTGGGTCATTGTTTTATGTCACAACAAGCAAGCCTGATATTGTATTCAATATGGGATTGTGTGCAAGATTTCAGGCAAATCCAAAAGAGTCTCATCTGAAGGCTATCAAGAGGATACTTAGATATCTTAAAGGAGCTCCTGATATGTGCTTGTGGTATCCTAGAGGGTGTAACTTTAATCTAGTTGGTTAAGCTGATGCTGACTAAGCAGGTTTTCATGTTTACTGGAAAAACACTTCAGGAACAGCACATTTCCTAGGTTCTTGTCTGGTGTCTTGGGGAATAAAGAAGCAGAACTCAGTGACTTTATCCACAACTGAGGTTGAATATGTGGCAGCAACATCTTGTTCTGCTTAGTTACTATGGATAAGACAACATCTAAGGTACTATGGTATTTTTGTTGATTGTGTTCCTATTTTCTATGACAACACTAGTGCCATAAACATTGCTAAAAATTCATGTCAGCACAAGAGAACCAAGCACATTGACATTAGACACCACTTTCGCAGAGACAGTGTTGAAAAAAGGAACATCTCAATTAACTTCTCTAAAATTGAAGACCAAATTGCAGATATCTTAACTAAAGCTCTGAGTAGGGACCACTTTGAAAGGAATAGACTGGAACTACGTCTAATCAATACTTCCAACTAGTTGCACCCCAATGATTGGCTAGAAAAGGTATAGTTAGATGTAGAATGTCAAGTACAATGTGTTTGATTCAGTCTCATGCTTGTATTAAGCATACACACTTGCCTAGAAAAATCTAGCTGATAACTATGTTGTATGATACTAACATGTAGTGTTGAAGCTTTATTGCATAAATAAGTAACGAGTTACTAAGGAGTTGGTTCTTTGACTCAGGTACGTGCCATCTTGTCTTAATTCACTCGGACTTAATATCCTAAATTACTGCTATGCTCAGACTTTCTAATCCTGTTAGCATCACTTTCAATTCTCATCTAGGCTAAGAGTAAGGGGGAATCCTAGAGCAAATAGAGTTTAGTTACTCCTAAAATCCTAAAAGTCAAAGTAACCATTATTAGAGTCCCGTTAGAGCTCAAATTTTGTCACTCTCCTTCTTCCAGTCAAATCATGAGTAACGCCCCTTTGTGATCAGTTTCTCAGACATCACTGTTTTTCTCAAACCATAAGCAAGAATCAAGAAATAATTCTCTCTTTCCCTTAAGCGATTTTCCTCTCTTATCGCCATGCCTAAATCCAGCCAAACCCCTTATAAAGCAAAACCATCATCCAAGACTGAAGCCAAATCCAATAACATGAAGCCCAAATCAAAGAAAATTGTCAAACCTTCCATTGTACCTACACCATCATCCCCTGTTCCTGCTCCTCTCACCATCCCTACTTCCACTGGGCCTTCACTTCAAAAACCAACCACCCATGCATATGTGCCTACTTCGAAAAATACCTCTAAGTCTACCAAGATCAAGGCTACTCTAAGAAAATCTGTCAAGAGTGACAAGGTAGTGCGTGATGCTGCTACTAAAGTAGACACAATGGTTAAGGAAGCTGTGGTTCAGGGGGAACCAGTGCAAGTTATTACAAGTCAGGTAAAACCCCCTCCCTCAAAATTAGATGTTCTGGCATCTGCTATAGGTGTTGCACCCTTAGATACTGTCCTACCCACAAGTGATAAACCACAAGTTGAGGAACCCACTATAGAAAAGAATGTAGCATCTCTAGAGAAAGGAGTAGATACCACTACAGTTATGCCTATGGTTGAGGGGGAAGGCAGTAAAGAACCAACACAAAAAGAGGCATCTAATGGTCTTTCTTTCAATTGGACAGAGGATGAGGATGATAATGGAGGTGAAAAAGAAGAAGGGGTAGTGGGCAGTCATGAGGGATATCCTACTCAGGACATTTCTAATGAAGGGAAAAAGAGTGAGAATGAGGGAGATTCTAGTGAAGAGTAGGAGAGTGAGACAGAAGATAGGATAGATGAACAAGTGGATGACTCTACAAAATAAGAAAAGAACAACAAAGAAGAGGGTCAGTCTGAGAGTGAAGGTGAGGATCAAGAAAAGGCAAGTGAGAGTGAAGGAGAGGATAAAGAAAGTGAGGAAGAGAATGAGAATATGAGTGGGGAATTTGAAGGCTCTATGACTATTGGAAACACTGTCATAGCCCCTTCAGAAGAAGCAAGTGGACTGAAGAACTTGGGCCCTTGTTAGCTCCTTTCACTGGATAAGAAGAGGTTAGTAGTGATGAAGATAACTTGCCCTTGTCTGAAGTAGGGAAGAAACTCAGGAAGACTCCTGTGAAAGAAACAAATTATGTCGTCCCTACAAGGAAAGAAGTAGCTCCTCCTTCCAGGACTCCTCTCACAAGGAGTAAAAGAAAGGTTGTTGATGAACAAATCATTAAGGAGTCCAGAGGTGCCAAGAAGCCAAGGAAGCAAGTTTCAGTTGTGGAACCTGTAGTTGAGTTGAATGGAGAAGATGAGTCTGTTTCTACTCTGCCAGAAAAGTCATCAACATAAAAGAGAAAGGTTAGCAAAGCTACAAAAAATACTACCCTATCTGCAAGGGCAGGTAGAGGAAAGAAGAGAAAAAGTGTGCCAGCTGTGGTTGATAAACTCACCGAGTCCAGAAACAGAAAAGTGCTTAATGGGAAGATTCTTGTAAACACTGATGAAAAATGGATGGCTCAACTGGTTGAAAAACTTGAGCTACAGGATGGAAACACATGTTTGTCAAGGCTTTCCCTCATGTGTGTGTGCCTGCTGTGGTGGAGTTCTATGCAAACTTCGAGTTTGATGAAAAGGTGGTCAAGAGTAAGGTAAGGGGGTTTGAGATGGAGTTTGATACTGAGGAGCTGGTGATGCTTCTGAATATTTCTTCTTTAGGTTTGGACAATTACTTGAAGAAAAAGTGGCTAGCCATAGACAATGATGAGGACACAGGAATTGTGGTCACAAGGAAGTTCTCTAAAAAGTTTGAATGGATGCTCCCCAGAAGGTGTACAAGACTGATATGACCCCCTTCCACAAACTGTTGTTTCACTTTGTCAATTCATGCATTTTGCAGAGGTCTGAGAGAAGGAATGAGACTACCCTGTTGGACATGGTTGTGACTTATGATGGAACGCTTGACACTAGTAGACCTATCAATCTCCCTAGCCTGATGATTCAGCATATGACAAGAGCTACAAACACTTGCAAGCCTAAGCATGCTATGCCTTCATGTTGACTGAGTTGTTTGACAAGCTCAACATTGCCTTGCCTGAGTTTAAGTATGGAAATCAGAATGATGTCTTGGATGTTGTTAACCTCAAGCAGTATGGCTATGAGGAGATCAAGGCTAGAGGACCAAAAGGTACTGCTATTTTACCTGGAAGCAGCATGGCAGCAAAGCTCACTAAGAGGTTGGAGTTGGCTGTTGAGGAGAATGCCAAGCTCCGAGAAGACAATGATGAGTTGAGGAAAGAAACCAAGCAGCGTAGGGAAGAGCTCAGAAGGGATAGAGAAGCTCATGCCCAACAGATTTTTACCCTTGTGAAAGCATTGACCCCGTCTACCTCTCACCCACGAGCCTGTTCCTTCCCCAGAGTCCTTAGTTTCTTTTGTTATCCCAATGATGTTTTAGTTTTTGTTTCTTTCTATTCTAGTCTGAGTATGTTGCAACAGGTTTAGTTTATTTTTTTTAATGGTTTAAGACAAGGCCCTGGGCTTATTTTGGCACTGCTAAATGACTTCTCTTATAATGTTTTAACGCTTCGTACTTGGTTAGATCATCAGCTTAGTCTGTTTGTTTTGATAATTCTTGAGCTTGTGCTGTAGTCTATATGGCCTTGAATCTTGCATTAAATGTGCATAATATGTCTAACATCTTTTGTTATTTTTCGATAATGCCAAAAGGGGGAAGATAGGGTAGGAGTTGTCTATTTGTGGAATTATGTCCCTGTTGATCATGATTTGGTGTGATTTCCTGGTTCTGGTATATACAAAGTTTGTCATCATCAAAAAGGAAAAATTTGTTGAGTATTGAGATTTTTATGATTAATAAATTTTGTTCTAACAAAATGTTCGAAGATCCAGGTCCTCAACGTAGTTGCTTAACTGCTCTAAGAACCAGCTCCTCTGGGTGAAGGACCAACTCCTCATGGTTGATGATTGTACATCTATGCAAGACAATAACTTTATCCCAAAGTTATCCAGGTCCGAGTTTGATGGAAGAAGGCTTTTCACATGATAATGGTTGTTGCCCAAGAAGATACGCATAAATAAGTGAGACATAAGAGTCCCAAGACCGGTGGAGTCCTTAGAACAGTAGGAGTCCTATCAAACGAGAAGCTAATTATGCATAGGACTCTTAGAAGATCTTGGAGTCCGGACATTTAAATACTATCCATCTGAACTGCTGAACCTATAATTTTACTCATCAACTGAAGAACTACATTTTACACACTCTAGTCGAGTACAAGTGTTGTGTTCTTCTTGAGTCAGTCTAGTGAATGTGTTTTAGGAAATCGAGTTGTAATCAAAGTGTCACAAACTATTAGTGAGTTGGAGTGAGTGTTTGCTTTACATGTTAGAGTAACTTATAAATCAAAAAGACGTAGTAGGAGTACCGGAGAGACTTGAGTGACAGTCTTGTAATCGATACATTTTGGCTCATTGTTCTAGTGGAGTTGAAGTTGAAAATCCTACGCAGTAGGTCGTGGTTTTTGCACCTTTTGATCTGGGTGATTTTTCACGCAAAATCGCTATTTTTTATTACTTTATTGCATATTTTACTTCACGTCTAAAGTACGGTACCAAGTTCTTTAGTAAATTCATAAGGACACTCAAACTAACAATTCCTATAAATAAAAAGGAAATCACATATTATAATTATTACTATAATATCACTTAATAACATTTAAACATCCGGAAATAATCCGCAGGGTTATACTACATAAACAAAGCAATGGCTATGACACCATAACAAAGATAGCCATGCTTTACACAATGTCAATGCTGCAAATTACAACTCCATACAGCGACAGCCAGCTGCATGATAGACCTATAGCTTCATCCATCACTATCAGTTAATCGTCATCTTAACTTAATACAATTAGAAATGTCGTACAGTTTCTATACATTTATTATGTACACATAATCTTCAGATATATTTCAATCAATAAAGTACTGTACTTTTGTTTGATCATGAGCATATATACCATCACTTAGGTGTATTTCACTTCACTTCCACAAATCAATTTGAGAACTGGAGGATGCTGTGGAGGTATTTTCTGGAGCCAGTTCTTGCTTGTCCAAATTTTTGACCATCAAATTTGAGTCGTCGCCCCTAGCATTTGCTGCATTTGAATAGTTATTCTCATCTTCTTGACTAAGTTGGGAAGCTACAAATTTGTCAAGAACTCGCCAATCGGTCACTTGATCTTCAACTTGGTCATTAATACAACCTCTATTAATGTTGTTTCCAAACGTAGGATGATGCATATGTTCTTGATTAACATTAATGCCAAATATTGGCATTGAGCTGCAACTTATTCCAGGAGGTGCTGCTGCTAGAAGTTTAGAATTAGTTTCTAAAAGAGGAAGCTGAAGAAATTGCTGACGAGGTGGGATTTGGTAGTGCAAATTATCAAGTTCCTTCTTGCAATTAGGGTAATTATTAGGATAGTGATGGTTATAGTTAGTGATGGTATTAGAGTGAGGGTACTGTGGCTTGGGGGAGTCCATATTGTCAGGCATGAATGAAAGTTGATCATCGTACCAAATTGGTGAGCCATGTTCACTAGTATCCATCCTCATAGCTGCTATTTTCTTCTTGAACACTCTACATATAACCCATCCTTCTTCCTATTGTAGTAGATAAGCATTTGATTAGTAATTTGACTATAATGACAACTAACGTATGCGCTATAAAAAGGTTAAACTATACTCATAGGTTAAACTATACCAACGAGTCACACACTAAGCACCATACAATATTGTTAAAACTTAAAACTTAAGTCCTTAAAATTTTATGTACTTACGCGGTTAAAACACTTAGGGATCGTTTGGTAGGGTGTATAAGAATAGTGCTAAATAAAGTGTATTAGTAATGCAGACAATAATAATGCATGCGTTGATAATGCAAGTATTAGTTATGCAGATATTATTTCTTATCCACTGTTTGGTGTGGTGTTTTAAATATTAAAATGCACTGCATAAAAATTTATTATTTACAAAAATGCCCTCCATATTCTTTAGTTTTTAGGGACTTTAAGGATAATTTTATCTTTAACTATGCTAATGCATTCATTAATAGCCTTGGTATTGCTAATACTATGATTTGTTATGTATTAGTTATACATAAGATAACACCAAATATGTTGTATAACTAATACTTATACATAGATTGAAAAAAATGTACAAAACAAGGGATTAGTAATACCAAAAGCTAATGCATGCATTATTTTCTTTAATGCATCCTACCAAACGATGTCTTACATAATCATGTCATTTATAATATAATTACAAGTAAATATCTACGTAAAGCAAATTAATTGATAACTTAGTAAAAATAATAACTAATTTACTATCACAGATTAATTACACTAATGAGGTAAATTTTTATACTATCAATGTATATAACTTTAATCCGTTTAACTATATGGAGTTGATTTAAAGGGAACTTGCCTGAGGAGCACCATTTGGATCAGTCTCAAGTCGGTATTCATGCATAATAAAATCAGATTTTTGTCCATTTGGAGCTCTCCCTTTATAATAGACTAAGGTCTTCCTCATGCCAATCAAGTCGTGCTTAGAATATATAGCCTTGTCCCTTCCTGTTGCTTTCCAGAATCCTGCTGCTGTTGCTCTATTTGTTCTTGTCCCTGTTGGATATTTTTTATCTTTGTGGCTGAAGAAGTACCAGTCACTTTGTTCTTCTGTGCCCATTCTGCATAATTCTGTTGACAATTTCATTATATTTGTGAGTGATATCATACCTTTATGTCATTTGAAATACATGTAATTCATACTTTTTTGACATATATACGGTTTCATATATATATAGCTGTACCTTGAAGATCCCATGGCTCAATTTTGTAGAGATCGATGTCTTTAATAACATCAACATCAATCCTTCTGGAGGTGATTTTCTTCCTAAGGTAATAATCGACGAGTTCTTCATCAGTTGGGTGAAATCTGAAACCTGGAGGAACTTGTGAGAAAGAATTCATCATCTCTCACTCAAATGTATAGCCTGCATATTCAAGAAAAAATATCAGTATTACATTCCAATTGTATGATCAAATGTAGAATATAAATCTTTCAAACTTCTGTTTCTGTTTCTTTTCAAACTACGGGTAAAGTGGCTGCCATGTGACCAGGAGGTCACGGGTTCAAGCCGTAGAAACAGTCTCTTGCAGAAATGCAGGGTAAGGCTGCATACAATAGACCCTTGTGGTCCGGCCCTTCCCCGCTCATAGCGGAAGCTTAGTGCAGCGGGCTTTTTTTTTTTTTGCTCAGGTTAGAAGAAATTTGAA